CTCCCCAAATAACGATTTGCGAAAGAAAGAAATATTATTGTCTGAGTTTGGATAACTTACGATAAGATTTGTTTGGATTTTTAACTCGAAGGGTTAGCTATTCGTGCCATTCAGAATAACCCAAGAAAGTCAGTGTGCCAATGGGGACTGTTTTGTCTTACTTCCATTGTGATCCTTTAGTCTTGTTCCCAGGATGCCACCCACACCAGGAACAGCAGGTTTAAGGAAACATGCCCAACGTTTCCATCCGTGCCGGGGATTGAACCACTAACACTCAGTGTGTGAGGCGAGAGCGTTGTCTCCCGAGCCACGGAATTCCACTGAACAGCTAAACTCAGTATTGTAGCATTCTCCTGCGCTGATGTAAACACACATATTTGTGTATACCTGAATAAACTTACTTAAGTTCATCATTGTGTTGGAGGCACCAGGGATGCCATCACTGGCAGCAGCTCTGGATGCTGTGCATAAAGAAAATGGAAGGTTACACTAACTTAAGTAAACAGGATACCTAATATCTAGAAGCCTTCGCATTTTTAATCTAGAGGGTTAGTAACTCAGAATACTCCAGTAAAGCTACGATATCTGCTTTATTTTCAGTGGTGTTCTTTGATCCTCTTGACCGCAGGATGCAACCCAACAATCAGTTAACACCCAGATACCTGTTGTTAATGATAATGTTTTATTACACAATTAATGCTTTATTCCATTGAGCATACAGATAATGTAGGTACATGAATACAGCAGTAGGCACGAAAGCCACTAATTATGTAATGCATTTCGGGCAACTACTCATAAGGCGAATAAATAATAATAGCTGAACAACACACAAGAACTCTAATGGAAATATGTCGCTTTGACTTTTTTTTTGGGGGGGGGGGTTATCCTAGGTTATTTACACACATGCTGCTATGTATGATAATTTATGTAACTGTATATCTTTACCTGAATAAATTTACTTAAAGACAATATGTATAATCATATTCATAATTTTTACTTCAGCATGGTGTAATGTTTGTAAAGAGATGGGTGGCATTTAGCTGTGCATGCAGAAAACCCATTGTTATCCAATATTTCCAGTTGTGATGGGATGGTACCCAGGTCCTTCAGATGAGAGTTGAGGGTTGCTACCACTTCAACCACAAGGACCCGACGTTAAGATACACCAAACCTATCGTAAATGGATACATTAACCTCTCACTTCTGTTCAGTAAATACAATAATGTTAAGCCCACTTTAAACACCCGAAAGAGTAGGAGAGAAGAAATATTGGTAAAAAAAATACTTCAAGTTTTATATATATATATATATATATATATATATATATATATATATATATATATATATATATATATATATATATATATATATATATATATTTGTGTGTGTGTGTGTGTGTGTGTGTGTGTGTGTGTGTGTGTGTGTGTGTGTGTGTGTGGGAGCAATGTGGCAGATGTTGCAAGTATATGGAATAGGTGGTAAGTTACTAAAAGCTGTAAAGAGTTTTTATGAGGATAATGAGGCTCAGGTTAGGGTGTGTAGAAGAGAGGGAGAATACTTCCCGGTAAAAGTAGGTCTTAGACAGGGATGTGTAATGTCACCATGGTTGTTTAATATATTTGTAGATGGGGTTGTAAAAGAAGTAAATGCTAGGGTGTTCGGGAGAGGGGTGAGATTAAATTATGGGGAATTAAATACAAAATGAGAAGTGACACAGTTACCTTTTGCTGATGATACTGTGCTTATGGGAGATTCTAAAGAAAAATTGCAAGGGTTAGTGGACGAATTTGGGAATGTGTGTAAAGGTAGAAAGTTGAACGTGAACATAGAAAAGAGTAAGGTGATGAGAGTATCAAATGATTTAAATAAAGAAAAATTGGATATCAAATTGGGGAGGAGGAGTATGGAAGAAGTGAATGTTTTCAGATATTTGGGAGTTGACGTGTCAGCGGATGGATTTATGAAGGATGAGGTTAATCATAGAATTGATGAAGGAAAAAAGGTGAGTGGTGCATTGAGGTATATGTGGAGGCAAAAAATATTATCTATGGAGGCAAAGAAGGGAATGTATGAAAGTATAGTAGTACCAACACTCTTATATGGGTGTGAAGCTTGGGTTGTAAATGCAGCAGCGAGGAGACGGTTGGAGGCAGTGGAGATATCCTGTCTAAGGGCAATGCGTGGTGTAAATATTATGCAGAAAATTCGGAATGTGGAAATTAGGAGGTGTGGAGTTAATAAAAGTATTAGTCAGAGGGCTGAAGAGGGATTGTTGAGGTGGTTTGGTCATTTAGAGAGAATGGATCAAAGTAGAATGAAATGGAGAGCGTATAAATCTGTAGGGGAAGGAAGGCGGGATAGGGATCGTCCTCGAAAAGGTTGGAGGGAGGGGGAAAAGGAGGTGTTGTGGGGGAGGGGTTTGGACTTCCAGCAAGCGTGCGTGAGCCTGTTAGATAGGAGTGAATGGAGACAAATGGTATTTCGGACCTGGCGATCTGTTGGAGTGTGAGCAGGGTAATATTTAGTGAAGGGATTCAGGGAAACCGGTTATTTTATATAACCGGACTTGAGTCCTGGAAATGGGAAGTACAATGCCTGCACTCTAAAGGAGGGGTTTGGGATATTGGCAGTTTGGAGAGATATATTGTGTATTTTTATACGTACATGTATATACTTCTAAGCTGTTGTATTCTGGGCACCTCTGCAAAAACAGTGATTATGTGTGAGTGAGGTGAAAGTGTTAAATGATGATGAAAGTATTTTCTTTTTTGGGGATTTTCTTTCTCTTTGGGTCACCCTGCCTCGGTGGGAGACGGCCGACTTGTTGAAAAAAAATATAAATATATATATATATATATATATATATATATATATATATATATATATATATATATATATATATATATATATATATATATATTTTACCAATAGGAATATTTTATTACATAATATGGTACAGAAAATTTAAGAGATACATTGTTGATATAAAGGTGGCATATAAGGTACATGTTGTTACGTGTGTATCACCGATTATAAGGCGAAAATCTCATCCAGCTCCTCAGAGCTGGGGGGTGTGCCCAAAATACAGCAGGCATTACCCCTTTGAACAGCCGCACTGAGCCGCTGGAACAGAAAACTAGCTGCCCTGGGATCCCTAGTTACCCTGATGAGTTATATATATATATATATATATATATATATATATATATATATATATATATATATATATATATATATATATATATATATATATATATATATGGGCATTCTTGGATTAAAGTAAACTTGGAGTGCATATATTGTGAGAGATCATTCTCATCGTGCACAGGCAGTGTTCCTCTCAGTACACACATTCAGAGATGTACTCATAATAAAAAAAAAATAAAATGTTGCTTATACAAGGTTATGAATTATTGACAGTACCCAAACTTTATTGAGTTATTGTTATATTAGGAAAGTTACAGTAGTTATGAGTTATTTACAATAAGCAGAATCAGGGTATTTTATATCAGAATTGTTGGTAATATTTCACTGAAAAAATGCTCAGTCCTTGAACATTTGCGAGTTTTCTGAATTCACGATTTTTTGTTTCGCATTCCAGCACATAGTGACGCATAGTGGCTCAAACCACTATGCGTCAAGCAATAGTACCGTCCTAGAATATGTTGATTTTGTTGCAGTAGCCATAGATATGTGGCTCGGTCTGCATGACAGAATGATGATAGAGTGACTGGTGTTTAATTTCTCTTAAAGGTCTTTTTGTATTATTGTTCTCGAGGTTTGGACGGCTCAACGTTATAATTTACTCCCTGCATGAAGTCATACGCCTTTGCTGAGTCATCATTTCCATTAAACATTGAAAGGCTAATGTGAGGGCATTCACAAAATCCGCGCTCTGAATCCATTTTCTACATTTTTTCATTTTAATCACGGGGGAAGGTCGAAACCGTATGGTTTCATACAGTGCCTAAGAGGTATTCAAGTTCGATCCAAGGAAGGGAAAATTAAATTTAGATCCTTTGATCAATGTTCAAAGCCGTCCCGACCGACACCGGGGCAACTCCCTGGAAGGGGTTCAGTGTTAACAGTTCTACCATATGTAACTGTGTCTGGCTTCTGATATGAGCATGTAATAATTGACATTCATGAAGAATATTATTATTATTATTATTATTATTATTATTATTATTATTATATTATGGGAAGCTCTAAACCCCTAGGGGTCATGCGTCGTCTGGGATAACGGAAGACATTCAGGCTCGATTGAAGGAATGAAGTTAAGTCCAATTACGGATGTTAGTGTACCACTCACAATTACGGATGTTAGTGTACAACTCACAATTACGGATGGTAGTGTACAACTCACAATTAAAGTATCAGCTTTAGATACTTGGATATATTTAAGAGCAACAATAATAACAAATAGTCCAGTTTGAAAGTTATGGGTTTAAATGTTGATGCATGCTCCAGTTACTATACAGAAATCATTAATCACCCTGACAACCATAGATAGCACCAGTTGGTTGGTGGACTAAGCCGTCGATATATATAATTCGTGGTAGCGTGCGATGCTTGGCTTCAAGACAAAGCATTGGGATCTAATAAGGTTCTTTACAAAAAAAAAAAAAAAGTGATGGATAGTGATTTGTAGAGAGGTAATTTTCCATGGTGCAGAGAAGTTCTCACATGTATGTGGTGAAGAAAATTTGGAAAGCATCTGTGCAAAGGTTTGGATGAGTTTATCTGAGAATATTATCAACAATGAAGGTAATTCTCTCAGTCACACGATCTCTGATGCATTGATTATCGAAATTTCTTCCGCATGATTAGTATTTTGGTGGTAGAGGAGCATCCTAGGAAAATCCACATTGTTTCGTTCTCCAATATTTTCAAGCCCTTCTTCGACATAAGACCCAGTAGAAGAGGGTCAAGCCCTCCTGTATAGAATATAAAACTATCAAATTCTCTTACCCGAATGATATGCCTTTTGAGGCTTATGCTGATGATCACAATTTGAGAATAATATATGAAGAGAAACAAGAAATGCATCACAAATAGAGGTTAATTCTGCACAGGTAAATAGAGGAAATGAAGAGAGATAACAGCTGGAGACTCATGCTCCATGAAGAATGTCGGGAAGAAATCCGAATCAGTTAGAGACGGGCAACAAGGTAACGGGTATAATAGCAAGGTCTGCCGCCATCAGGGCTCAGTGCGTAGCATATAAGAGGCTGACGATACACACACTACCACACCACCTCCAGCCACCACACCGTCCACGTCCCTACTACATCATGGTCTCCTGGACTAACTTGGTAATGTCTACCATAACACTGACGCACAAGATGTTCCTCTCACTTGATCATGTAGTAACACAGGCTTCACCACTGACACTTGAGACAGATAAGATAAGGTTTCGTTCGGATTTTTAACCCCGGAGGGTTAGCCACCCAGGATAACCCAAGAAAGTCAGTGCGTCATCGAGGACTGTCTAACTTATTTCCATTGGAGTCCTCAGTCTTGTCCCCCAGGATGCGATCCACACCAGTCGACTAACACTCAGGTACCTATTTGCTGCTAGGTGAACAGGACAATAGGTGTAAGTAAACGTGTCGAAATGTTTCCACCCGCCGGGAATCGAACCCGGGCCCTCCGTGTGTGAAGCGGGAGTTTTAACAACACCAGGCCACCGGGCCAGTATACGTTAAAGACAGTAAGGCCTATTTACCAGGATTACCTTAATTGCTAATCCTTTTGTAGAATTACGTTTGGCTTGGACGCGAATTGTGACAATAAAATTAAGTTTGTCTTTGGACAAACTAAATTTAGGAATTAATGGAATTAGGCCGGATTCAACCATATGTGTTTCATATAATTATCAGAATTATACATTGGTTTGAAGCTACGAAAGTTTATTGTAGTTACAGTCACACATACCGTGAGAACACACCACCTCTCCTGAGTTCGAACATTTCCCAGTTTCTTTTATTTGTACTGTTTCTCAGTATTTTTCAAGAGTAGAAAAAACACCCCATCCATGATGGAGTTTAATTTTTACTATAAATCTGTTGATCTTTGCATAAATAAGGATTCTCAACAGTGTAAAAAGATTCTAGAGCAGCAAAATGACCTTGTGACATGAATCACTATGGGTAATATAGATGCCTGATAATACTGGTATTACCAACGCTTTACATTTCATAATCAATAAAACTTGGATAACACGCAACAAGCTTTCAGCAGTAGACGCTGTTACAATCTCGCTTGTTGATCATGACTTAACCAACAAGCGAGAATTAATGAATTCCTGGAGTATACCTGGAGAGGGTTTCGAGGGTCAACGACCCCGCAGCTCGGTCGGAGACCAGGCCATGTGGTAGGTCAGGGTCTGATCAACCAGGCTGTTATTGCTGCCCGGACGCAAACTGACGTACGAACAACAGTCCGGCTGGTCAGGTACTGACTTTAGATGCCTGTCCAGCGCCTTCTTGAAGACAGCCAGGGGTATATTGGTAATCCCCCGGGGAGTCTTTTTCTATATATATAAAGTCATAATACTACCGTAAAATCAGTAACAAGATAAATTTTCTTCTGGATACATTTAAATGATGCAATTAATCTATTTCAAACATAAACAATAATTGTAGTCAATATTCCAGTCTGAAAATATTCAATTTTCCTGTTTTTGTAAAATTATAAAGATTAATGTGTTTGTTTTGTAATTAAGAATTCAGTATTTATTGGAATGTTGCTGACAATGTGTAATCTCTGCTATTTGTGTTAATATCTAACAATTTAATCCAGTAGCAAAATCTATCGCCCTTGCAGGTGCTGTTGTCCGCTTGTGCGGTTAGCACGCTGAGCTTGCCTCGACCAGACGAAAGTGCCTATAAAATTCCTCAAGTGGGCACTGGAAGACGCTCCCAATATTCTGTTCTACATAAGGATGGAACCTACAAGTACGGCTACGATACTGGCGAGGGAGCTTTCGAGAGTGCCCGCTCACCCACAGTAGGTCAGGTAGAAGGCAACTTCGGCTACAGTGACCCTGAGGGTAAAAATGTTCAACTCCAATATGAAGCTGGAGTGGGCGGCTTCCAGCCCAAGGGTGCCCATATACCTGCCCCACACCCTGACTTTGCCCTTGCCCATGCACAGGCTCGTGCTCGCCCACCCTTCGTAGACCCCCTCGCCGACCCAAAAGCTGATGCTTCATATGGATTCGACTTTGCTGGTGAAGGACAGGCACGCAGTGAACAAAGTGATGCGGACGGTAACGTGCGTGGCTCTTACACTTACACAGATGAACAAGGTCGTACACGAACCTATAAATACACTGCTGGTCGGGGCACAGGATTTGTTGTCGAGGGCGATGATCTTCCACAGTCACCTGCAGATCCAGCTTCTACTCCAGCTGCAACACGACTCTCATCTGCTGCTGCTGCTAGAGTTCCATCCCCCTCACTACGTACTGCTGCAACGGCATCTATAGTTTCACAAACTTCAGTACCATCTACTTCTTTCCGAGCATCTGCAGCATCACGCCTGCCATCACGGCCTTTCTCAGCTAGTTTAGGCTCTCCAGCAGGACCTGTTTCATTCCAGAGAAGCGGAGCAAGGTCAGATGCATCATATTCATTTTCTTATGATGCTGGTGACCACTCACGTTCTGAATCTGCTGATGCTGACCTTAATGTCGATGGGCAGTTCTCCTTCGTAGCCGATGATGGCGTCAGACGCAGCGTTGTTTATGAAGCTGGAAGTGACACTGGGTTCCTGGCTTCTGGGAATCATCTTCCTCAGTCACCCTTAGGCTCTCCAACCACTTCATCTGCAAGAACACCAACATCTTACCGCAGTCCATCAGCATCTAGAACTCCTAGCTCTCCAGCTTTCTCTAGAATTCCTGGTACTCCAGCATTTACCTCCGGTTCACGCTTACCTGCTGCCCCTGGTCGTCCTACCTTCACACCCTCACAAACTCAGTACAGCTCTCTAACTGGACGCCCATTCGAACCTGCCAATACTCGCAGTCAATTGTCTCCTGATGGCAGTTACTCCTTCGCCTACGAGACCTCCAGTCACTCACGAGCAGAATCTGGTGACAGAGACAACAATGTGGAAGGAAAGTTCGACTTCATTGCTGATGATGGACAACGTCGAGGTATCAAATACGAGGCAGGATCTGATACAGGATTTATCGCTGAAGGAGCTCACATTCCTGTAGGACCCGAAGTCCCTGGAGCACCCTCTGGACAGCCTACCGGAAGAATTGTTCCTGTACAAGAGGTTCCCTTCATCGACCCTCTAGCTGATTCCAAATCTGATGCATCCTATAGCTTTGGCTTCGATTCTGAGCAGTATTCACGGTCGGAGAGTGCTGACGCTGACGGTAATGTCCGTGGCACCTACACAGTGGTGGACGATGACGGCACTCGCCGCACTTACCGATTCCGAGCAGGTGAGGGCATTGGATTTGAAACTGAGGAAGTATCAGTTTCTCGCGGTGCCCCTCCATCTCGCTCTCCATCCCCTGCTACTTTCCACACCTCAGAGTCTAAGGGCCAGGCCGCACCGTCCACTACTTCATACACTGGGAAGATTAGTCCCACCTTGACTCCTGCCTTCACCAGAGCTGCCTCAGCCACCTTTCCCTCAGCTTCGTTCTCACCATCTTCAAGAACCAGGTCAGATGCCACCAACTTTCAGCTCCGTCAGTACGACGCTTCAGAAAATCGCGGCAAATACGGTTACGTTCTAACATTTGACAATTAGATATAGAACATAATTAATTGTTAGTAATATTTGCATTATTCATTTCATATGAAAATATGTGTATCATCTACAAGAATTAGAAACTCTAATTATGTTCGCAATATTTTTATTGCTATATATGTACTTCTACTCTTACAATGGAGCTAATGCAACACAAAATACAAAAAAACAACATGTGGATGTATAGTATTATACTTCCTGCATAATCTGCTGTACAACACAACATGCAATGAAAATTAATAAAAATGGAATGAATAATATGTTCACTGTTACCCTAAAAGCAATGTTTAAGGTCAGTAGTCAGCGAAAAGGTTAACATGAGACAGCTCAGGTCAGGTACCATGTTGATGAGACAGCTCAGGTCAGGTACCATGTTGATGAGACAGCTCAGGTCAGGTACTGTGTTGATGAGACAGCTCAGGTCAGGTGCTGTGTTGATGAGACAGCTCAGGTCAGGTGCTGTGTTGATGAGACATCTCAGGTCAGGTACTGTGCTGATGGCACAGCTCGAGTCACACAATATTTTTCATTTGATGATTTAGTCACAGGTCTACACCGCCCCAACTATGTAGCAAATACCTTCAGTATTTTAAACTCGTACAAATTAACTACACCATTGTAAGTAAAAGTAAAAATTTCTTAAATAATAATGAGACTGAATATAGATGTTAATGAGTGTGCGTGTTGGGTTATATAGATATACATACTGCAGTCTCTAAGATAATCGTGATAATATTTAACATTTAAATCCAACAAAATCTACTGTCATCCCTGCAGGTACTGTTCTCTGCTTTAGCCGTTAGCGCCTGAGTTTGCATCGACCAGTCGAAGTGCATACGAAATTCCTCAAGTGAGAACTAGAAGGCATTCCCAATATTCAGTTCTATGTTAATTAAGAGCTTCTGAGAGTGCTTGCTCAAACTCACTTGTTAGGTAGAAGGCAAATTGTGCTACAATGACCCTGAGGGCAATAATGTTTAACTCCAGTACATAGCTAGAGCTGGAGGCTTCCAGCCCAAGAGTGCCCATCTACCTGCCCCACATCCTGACTTTACCCTTGCCCATGCCCAGGCCCGTGCTCGCCCACCCTTCATAGACCCCCCTCGCTGACCCAAACGCTGATGGATTCGACTTTGCTAAAGGACAGGCACGCAGTGAACAATGGGATGCAGACGGTAACGTGCGTGGCTCTTACACTTACACAGATGAACAAAGTCGTACACGAACCTATAAATACACTGCTGGTCGAGGCACAGGATTTGCTGTCGAGGGCGATGATCATCCAGTCACCTGCAGATCCAGCTTCTATTCAGCTGCATCACGACTCTCATCTGCTGCTGCTGATAGAGTTCCATCCTCTTCACTACACTACGTACTGCTGGAACGGCATCTATAGTTTCACAAACTTCAGCACCATCTACTTCTTTTCGAGCATCTGCAGCATCACACTTTAAATCATATTAATTTTCCTATGATTACTGTGACCACGTTCTGACTCTGCTGATGGTGACCTCAGTGTAGGTCAGTTCTGTTTCAGATCCAAACACAGCGTCAGACGCAGCGTCGTTTATGAAGTTGGAAGTGACACTGGGTTACTGATTGCTAGGAATCATATTTAACCACCATAGTCACACCTTTACAAAAACAACTTCTTACAACAGTTTTTCAGCATCTAGCTTTTACTTTTGAGTCACCTGCTGTCCCTGGTCGTCCGGCCTTCACAAACTCGATACAGCTCTCTATCTGTACGACCCTCTCCTACTTATCAGTACACCAGCCCATTCGAACCTGGTTCGGTTGGCAGCGTACTCAGCTCACATACTTAGTGCTAGTAGCTCGATCCCGACATAGATGGAAACGTTGGACATGTTTCCTTACAACTGCTGCCCCTGTTCGCCTATTAGTAATTACCTAGGAGTTAGTCAACTGTGTGGGTCACATCCTGAGGGGCGGTAGAATACCTATAGCTGATTCCAGATCTAATGCATCCAGTTTCTCGCGGTGCCCCTCCATCTCGCTCTCCATCACCTGCTACTTTCCGCACCTCAGGGTCTCCTGGCCGGGCCGCACCATCCTGTACTTCATTACACTGGGCAAACTAGTGCCACCTTGACTCCTGCCTTCACCAGAGCTACCTCAGCCACCTCTCCCTCAGCTTCGTTCTCACCATCTTCAAGAACCAGGTTGATTGCCACTAACCTTCAGCTCCGTCAGTACGACGCTTCAGAAAATCGCTGCAAATACGGTTACGGTTTAACATTTGACAATTAGACATAGAACATAAGTAACTGATACTAATGTTTACATTTTTACGTGCCATATGAGAAAATATACAGCGTCCACGAAAACTAGATCAAGTTAATATTTGTTATAATAGTTTTTAATAGCCTTATATATATATACAAATATGTTCACAAAAAACTTATTGCATCACTCATAACACAAACAATGAATGTAGTTTATTATAATTCCCACATTATCTATAATACAATACATGCAATGAAAATTAATAAAACAGAATCATTAATATATTCATTATTACCCCAGAAACAACATTGAGGGTCAGGAGACAGCCGGGTCACCACATGCAGAAGACCCGGGTCTGTAGACACCAACATGTTAGCATGAGACAGGTCAGACGAGGTCCTGTGTTGGTGATAATATTGATCTCTTGTCATCCCTTGATGGTCTTAATCATTATCGTGTGAATCTTGTTACCATTATTACTAAATTACTCTTTAAAATTTACATTCCTTCTCCTCAAACCTAACAACTGGTTTTTTTTTATGTGGGTGCCACGTCACTTACTTATTCTGCTAGGTGTGGGGTCCAAACTGGTGCTGTATACTCCAGTATGGGCCTGACGTACACGGTGTACAGTCTTGAACGATTCTTTACTGAGGTATCGGAACGCTATTCTCAGGTTTGCCAGGTGCCCATATGCTGCAGCAGTTATCTAGTTTATGTGCGCTACAGGAGATGTTCTCGGTATTTTACTCTCCCCAAGATCCTTTTCCTTGAGTGAGGTTTGCAGTCTTTGGCCACCTAGACCATACTCTGCCTGCGGTCTTCTTTGCCATTCCCCGATCTTCATGACTTTGCATTTGGCGGGGTTAAATTCGAGGAGTTAGTTGCTGGACCAAGCTTTCAGCCTGTCCAGATCTCTTTGTAGTCCTGCTTGGTCCTCATCTGATTTATTTCTCCTCATTAACTTCACATCGTTTGCAAACAGGGACACTTCTGAGTCTATCCCTTCCGCCATGTCATTCACATATGCCAAAAACAGTACAAATCCTAGGACTGACCCCTGTGGAACCCCGCTCATCACAGGCGCCCACTGTGATACCTCGTCACGTATCATGACTCTTTGTTGCCTCCCTGTCAGGCATTCTCTGATCCATTGCAGTGCCCTTCCTGTTATACTTGCCTGATCCTCTAGCTTTTGCACTAATCTCTTGTGAGGAACTGTGTCGAAGGCCTGCTCGCAGTCCAAGAAAATGCAATCTACCCACCCTTCTCTCACTTGTCTTACTTCCGTTACCTTGTCATAAAACTCCAGTAGGTTTGTAGCACGGGATTTGCCTTCCCTGAATCCGTGCTGGTTGTCGTTAATAAGCTTGTTCCATTCTAGGTGCTCCACCACTCTCCTTCTGATAATCTCCATGACTTTGCATACTATACACGTCAGTGACACTGGTCTATAGTTTAGTGCCTCGTTTCTGTCTCCTTTCTTAAAAATGGGACTACATGTGTGTGTGTGTGTGTGTGTGTGTGTGTGTGTGTGTGTGTGTGTGTGTGTGTGTGTGTGTGTGTGTGTGTGTGTGTGTGTGTGTGTGTGTGTGTATGTGTGTGTGTGTGTATGTGTGTGTGTGTGTTTGTCTGGAACTTGACTGAGGGATTATTCTAACAGCTAATATCTGTTAGGTAACAATAGGTTTTAGGTGATTTACTGTAGTAGATTCCCAAGACCATCAACCATAAGTGAGGTAAGGATTGATTAAGGAGTAATATTGAATGAGTATTGTTGTTTGTGGACCAAAACGTATTTCTGATAGTTATCCCACAGTTTGAAAGCTCTTATGTACAAGTATGTATTTGATTCCGCTAGTGTTTAATTTCTTTGAGGACACTTGTGTGCCAGAGGTCTAAGCAAAGCTCAGACAGACAAAGGTCAGAGATTTAAGTTATATCATGTATTTAGTAAAGATTCTAGACTTCACCTTACGAAAGCAGACAAAGCAAATGCGATAGTAATTATGGGCAAGTTAGATTATAGGGGAAAAATAACATTAGAAAACAGGGGAACTGGCTTTCCCCTCAAGTTCCTGGAAGGCATTTATTAAGTCATTAACACAGAAGAGGAATAATAGTGGGCCATGGACACTGCCTTGAGGTACCCTCTGTTGATAATTTGTGTTAATGGGATTGTCATTGACTGTCACATGCTGACATCTGTCAGTAAGATAAGACTAAGTGAACGCATGATCTGTTCCGCAATGGTCTAATTTCAGTAGAAAATGTGGTTATAGTGTCAAAAGCTTATTAGATCAATAAAAAATGGCCATTGGATATTCATTATTTTCTAAGGCTGAATATATCTATTCAGCATTTTTATGATAGCATAGTTAGTACTTTTCCTTTGTTTTGAAACAAAACTGGAAAGGGTTAAGAATAGTATGTTCAGCAATAAATATATATAAATCTTTTCAAAGATATTAGACGGTTATGATAAGTTAGGGATTGGTGTATAGTTGTTCATATCAGTTTTGTCTCCACCTTCGTGGAGTGGGGTGACATCAGTTAGCTTAACTAAGTGAAAGTTTGGTGAATCAGGGCTTGATCTACAGGTCTGTTACTGTTGACCCCACGCAAACTGACGTACGAACCACAGCCCGGCTGGTCAGGTACTGACTTTAGGTGCCTGTCCAGCTCCCTCTTTGAGGACAGCCAGGGGTGTATTTGTAATCCTCCTTATGTATGCTGGGAGGCAGTTGGTCAGTCTTGGGCCCCTGACACTTATTGTGTTGTCTCTTTGCGTACTCATGGCGCCCCTGCTTTTCATTGGGGGTATGTTGCACCAGCTGCCGAGTCTTTTGCTTTTGTAGGGAGTGATTTCCGTGTGCAGATTTGAGACTAATCCCTCTAGGATTTTCCAAGTGTATATCATGTATCTTTCTCGCCTGCGTTCCAAAGAGTACAGATCAAAGGACTTCAACCGTTCCCAGTAATTTACGTGCTTTACTGCACTTATATGTGCAGTGAAAGTTATCTGTTATTCTCCAGGTCAGCACACTTTTGTGGATATAAATCTGCCATTTCCCTCTGGCGCTGTGTAGCTCTCAGGGTTACAGGGTGCCTGGGAAAATGGGAGGCAGAGGTTCGATCCAAAGAATGAGAGGATACAAACCTGTAAATGTTCAGCAATAGGTCAAATTTATTTTTGAAACCTTGAAATCGACTGGCGACGCGAAGGATTTTTTTTCCTAACAGATGTGATTTGAGTTAGTTCATGTAATCCATTATATTAACGACAAACAAATTCAGAGCCATGTCACAAAATTCAATATTGGGAAATCCATACATTTTTGTTTCACGTCCGAAAACATACTCGTCTCTGCTCTCAACTGAGGGAGGATCAAGTCAAGTCTTGCGTTGGATGATCCATATGGGTTTAGCGTTTAGCATTTATTATTTAAATTTGTAAATATTTAACTTCTGTGTATCAAGTGGCAGAAAGTAAGTGACATGACCCCGATGGTAAACAGCAGGTGAGGGACACCAGCCTCCTCCTGGGACAGAAGTCAACGAAGAAACCAAGAGAAAAAAAAAATTTCCCAGGCTACTAGGCGCTGACATGCATTCATTCCGGCATTAATTTAAAAGTAGCATCAAGAAGCGTTGTCAAGTCTTGCTGCTATGACAGCTCAACATCTACACTCTTGATTAAACATAAATCAAAATTAATTACATCTTTTATCAAAGACACTAAATTTTTCTGAAATGGTGGGTATGATAGAGTTCCTTGCTGTGTTACCATTGTAAAAGGCAGTAGTTACCATGGTAAGACGGCAGTAGTTACCATTGTAAAAGGCAGTAGTTACCATGGTAAGACGGCAGTAGTTACTATGTATTACAAAACACTACTTTAACAAAAAAAAAAAAAACATAACCTGTACACAGGTAGAGGTACCTGCCTTGCATGGGCCAGTAGGCCTTCTGCAGTGTTCCTCTATTCTTATGTTCTTATGTATTTTGTTTCATTAGTCTGTTACTAGTGTTGTAATATGGGAGAGTTCGGGATTACAAATAAACCACTACAATTTATAATTGTTACTATAGATATACTTTGTATAAAAACCATAATGAGTATCGTTGATATAACTACATATTTTATATACAAAGTCACAAACAATCAAGCAAGTAAAAGTAACATAATAACCCTAGTGCCTCAGTGTCATGGCACTGCCATTTTCGGGTGTCTTACGACACTACCAATCCATGTGTCATAACACTCAAACATCGTACCTTATGACACCACCTTATCTGTGTTATCAGACACCGTCTCCGTGGTATCCACGACACTGCCTTTTCACCAGTGTCTGGACACTCAGTTTCTAAGGAAGCCTTTTCACCTCGTCATTTGACGCTTCAACACTCAGTTACACGACCCTTTTTAACTTGTGTGTTGTGTCACCTGACACTCACCGGGTGCAACACACACCCTGGTTTTCCCCATGTCCATGTCCTCTGACACGGAGAGACCCACAGGTCCCCGAGGTCTGCTACAGAAGCCTTCAGCAGGTGTCCACAGATGTACACTGTGAGGCAGTCTGGTGAACCTCAAAGGTCAGTCACCAGCAGGTGTAGAGTCTGGTGAATACTGTCAAAGGCCGGTCACCAGCAGATATATTCCGTGAAAGTCTGGTGACCACTGTCAGTCAGGCCGGCTCAGCAGTCCACACATTGCGTTTGATGACGTACCCCGTGGTACTGCTGGCCGGCAGGTTAACTACTTAACCACCATGACTCACGAAATCGTAATGACACGATTTTGAGACTCTCTGATCGCGGGTTCTATCCCCACCTGTGGCATGGTTTACTTAACCACCAGTTTGGTAGGAGGTCGCAACACCATGGTAAGACGGCAGTAGTTACCATAGTAAGACGGCAGTAGTTACCAAGGTAACACGGCATTAGTTACCATGTACGACGGCAGTAGTTACCATGGTAAGACAGTAGTAGTTGCCATGTAACACGGCAGTAGTTACCATGGTAATACGGCAGTAGTTACCATGGTAACACTACAGTAGTTGCTATGGTAACACGGCAGTAGTTACCATGATACGATGGCAGTTACCATGCTAACAGTACAGTAGTTACTATGGCAACACGGCAGTAGTTACCATGGTAACACTACAGTAGTTACTATGGTAACACTGCAGTAGTTACTATGGTAACACGGCAGTAGTTACTATGGTAACATGGCAGTAGTTACTATGGTAACACTACAATAGTTACTATGGTAACACTACAGTAGTTACAATGGAAATACTACAGTAGTTACTATGGTAACACTACAGTAGTTTACTATGGTAACACTACAGTAGTTACAATGGAAATACTACAGTAGTTACTATGGTAACACTACAGTAGTTACTATGGTAACACTACAGTAGTTACAATGGAAATACTACAGTAGTTACTATGGTAACACTACAGTAGTTACTATGGTAACACTACAGTAGTTACTATGGTAACACGGCAGTAGTTACTATGGTAACATGGCAGTAGTTACTATGGTAACACTACAATAGTTACTATGGTAACACTACAGTAGTTACAATGGAAATACTACAGTAGTTACTATGGTAACACTACAGTAGTTACTATGGTAAACTACAGTAGTTACAATGGAAATACTACAGTAGTTACTATGGTAACACTACAGTAGTTACTATGGTAACACTACAGTAGTTACAATGGAAATACTACAGTAGTTACTATGGTAACACTACAGTAGTTACTATGGTAACACTACAGTAGTTACTATGGTAACACTACAGTAGTTACTATGGTAACACTACAGTAGTTACTATGATAACACTATAGTAATTATTATGGTAACACTGGGGTAATTACTATGGTAACACTGCAGTAGCTACTATGGTAACACTACAGTAGTTACAATGGAAATACTACAGTAGTTACTATGGTAACACTACAGTAGTTACTATGGTAACACTACAGTAGTTACTATGGTAACACTACAGTAGTTACTATGGTAACACTACAGTAGTTACTATGATAACACTACAGTAGTTATTATGGTAACACTGCAGTAGTTACTATGGTAACACTGCGGTAGTTACTATGGTAACACTGCAGTAGTTACTATGGTAACACTGCAGTAGTTACTGTGGTAACACTGCAGTAGTTACTATGTTAACACTACTGTAGCTACCATGGTAACACTGCAGTAGTCACTTGGTAACACTACAGTAGTTACTATGGTAACACTACAGTAGTTACTATGGTAACATTACAGTAGCTACCATGGTAACACTGCAGTAGTTACTATGTTAACACTACAGTAGTTACCATGGTAACACTACAGTAGTTACTATGGTAACACTACAGTAGTTTGTATGGTAACATTACAGTAGCTACATGGTAACACTGCAGTAGTTACTATGTTAACACTACTGTAGTTACCATGGTAACACTGCAGTAGTTACTATGGTAACACTACAGTAGTTACTATGGTAACACTACAGTAGTTACTATGGTAACATTACAGTAGCTACCATGGTAACACTGCAGTAGTTCCTATGTTAACACTACTGTAGTTACCATGGTAACACTGCAGTAGTTACTATGGTAACATTACAGTAGGTACCAAGATTTTCTGGTACATACTAGCGTTCCTTGTCTCCTATTTACATAACTTAATATGTGAAAACTTACATGTTGAGTTCTATATCAGTGAAGGTGTTAACGAGGTCAACAGGTTAATGACTCGGACCAACAACACATGACGAACACAGGCCACTGTATAGTATGATGAACCTGACCTGTTTCATGCTAACATACTCGAGAATGATGATTTTGAATGCTATTTCTGGGATAATAATGAACATAATAATGATACTATTTTTTATATTTTTTCATTGCATGTTGTTTTATACAACAGATTCTTCACATTATAACATTATATATCAAATTGTATTTTTTTTTTTTTGTATTTCGTGTTGCAATACATTATTTCAAAACATATTTGTACATATATATATAGCAAACAAAATATAGCATCTAAAATTAGAAATTGATCTAATTCTTGAAGCAGGAAATATATTTCATAAGGAATAAAAACGTCAACATTAGCGTCAGTTACTTACGTTCTGTCTAACTGTCAAATGTTAGAACGTAACCATATTTGCCGCGATTTTCAGAAGCGTCGTACTGACGGAGCTGAAAGCCGGTGGCATCTGACCTGGTTGTTGGTGACAATGATGAGAGGGAAGCTGAGGGAGAGGTGCCTAAGGCAGCTCTGGTCAAGGCAGGAGTCAGAGTGGCACTAATAGAGGATGGTGCGGCCTGGCCTGGATACTCTGAGCTGCGGAAAGTAGCAGGTGATGGCAGGCGAGATGGAGGGGCACCGCGAGAAACTGATACTTCCTCAGTTTCAACGCCAATTCCTTCACCTGCTCGGAATCGGTGAGTACGGCGAGTGCCGTCATCGTCCACCACTGTGTAGGTGCCGCGGACATTACCGTCAGCGTCAGCACTCTCCGACCGTGAATACTGCTCAGAATCGAAGCCAAAGCTATAGGATGCATCAGATTTAGAATCAGCTAGAGGGTCGATGAAAGGAACTTCTTGTACAGGAACAATTCTTCCAGTAGGTTGTCCAGAGGGTGCTCCAGGGACTTCGGGTCCTACAGGAATGTGAGCTCCTTCAGCGATAAATCCTGTATCGGATCCTGCCTCGTATTTGATACCTCGACGTTGTCCATCATCAGCAACAAAGTCGAACTTTCCATCCACATTGTTGTCTCTGTCACCAGATTCTGCTCGTGAGTGACTGGAGGTCTCGTAGGCGAAGGAGTAACTACCATCAGGAGACAATTGACTGCGAGTATTGGCAGATTCGAATGGGCGAGTTTGTTGATAAGTAGAGGGAGAGAGACGTCCCGCTGGAGCGGTGTACGGAGTTTGTGAGGGTGTCAAGGCAGGACGACCAGGGGCAGCAGGTGAGCCAGGAGCCGTAGGTGCTGATGGACTACGAAAAGATGCTGCTGTTCTTAAAGAGACAGATGAAGTACTCGGAGGGCCGGTGGGTGACTGAGGAAGATGATCCCCAGAAGCCAGGAACCCAGTGTCACTTCCAGCTTCATAAACAACGCTGCGTCTGACGCCATCGTCGGCTACGAAGGAGAATTTCCCATCGACATTGAGGTCAGCATCAGCAGATTCAGAACGTGAGTGGTCACCAGCATCATAAGAAAATGAATATGATGCATCTGATCTTGCTCCGCTTCTCTGGAATGAAACAGGTCCTGTTGGAGAGGCTAAACCAGCTGAGAATGGACTTGATGGCAGGCGTGATGCTGCAGATGCTCGGAAAGAAGTAGATGGTACTGAAGTTTGTGAAACTGTAGATGCCGTTGCAGCAGTACGTAGTGAGGGGGATGGAACTCTAGCAGCAGCAGCAGCAGCAGCAGATGAGAGTCGTGTTGCAGCTGGAGTAGAAACTGGATCTGCAGGTGACTGTGGAAGATCATCGCCCTCGACAACAAATCCTGTGCCTCGACCAGCAGTGTATTTATAGGTTCGTGTACGACCTTGTTCATCTGTGTAAGTGTAAGAGCCACGCACGTTACCGTCCGCATCACTTTGTTCATTGCGTGCCTGTCCTTCACCAGCAAAGTCGAATCCATATGAAGCATCAGCTTTTGGGTCGGCGAGGGGGTCTACGAAGGGTGGGCGAGCACGAGCCTGTGCATGGGCAAGGGCAAAGTCAGGGTGTGGGGCAGGTATATGGGCACCCTTGGGCTGGAAGCCGCCCACTCCAGCTTCATATTGGAGTTGAACATTTTTACCCTCAGGGTCACTGTAGCCGAAGTTGCCTTCTACCTGACCTACTGTGGGTGAGCGAGCACTCTCGAAAGCTCCCTCGCCAGTATCGTAGCCGTACTTGTAGGTTCCATCCTTATGTAGAACAGAATACTGGGAACGTCTCCCAGTGCCCACTTGAGGAATTTTGTATTCGCTTTCATCTGGTCGAGGCAAACTCAGTGCGCTAACCGCAAAAGCGGACAACATTACCTGCAAAGGAGACAGATGATATTACTAGATTAAGTTTGTGCATATATACACAATTATCAGAGACTTTCCTACTATGTAAATAATGCGATGAGTACCGAATTCTGGATAAACCTCAAACTATATTGAAGATGTTTTGGTCCTCTGACACTGAAGTGATCAAGGTCTATAGACCGAAGCGCCTTCAGTACAGGTGTCCTAAGTGAATCTATTCGTGTCTGTTTCCTCAAAACAGTCATATGCATTCTTACTACATATTCTGTATGAGCTTTTGGTATTGAAGAAACCGAGTTGTCTTCAAGAAAAAAAACTGAGTTGTCTTGAAGAAACTGAAGTGAGTTGAAGAAAATCAGTTACACTGAAGAAAATGAGATAAAATTAATTTAGCTGAAGAATCTGAGTTGTCTCATAGATGGTTAAAGATCCAAGTTGTTGGATGTGAAGGCCTGTGTGACAGCAGTATTATGTGAGAAGATATTTTATGTGGATCATTGTTGTGATAGACATTACCAAGCTAGTCCAGGCAACCATGATGATGTGGTGACGTGGACGGTGTGGTGGTTGGAGGTGGTGTGGTGCTCTATGCAGCGCCAGCTTCTTATATACCACAATGTGAGCCCCGATGGCAGCCGACCTTGCTCTAGTCTTATACCCGTTACCTTGTGACCAGCCTCTAACTGATCCGGATTTCACCGTCATTCTTTAGTGCAGCATTAACCTCCAGTTGTGATCTTTCTCATCTTCTTTACCTTCTATTAGTGCAGCATCAACCTCCAGTTGTGATCTCTCTCATCTTCTTTACCTTCATGTATTAGTGCAGCATCAGCCTCCAGTTGTGATCTCTCTCATCTTCTTTACCTTCATGTATTAGTGCAGCATCAGCCTCCAGTTGTGATCTCTCTCATCTTCTTTACCTTCATGTATTAGTGCAGCATCAACTTCCAGTTGTGATCTCTCTCATCTTCTTTACCTTCATGTATTAGTGCAGCATCAACTTCCAGTTGTGATCTCTCTCATCTTCTTTACCTTCATGTATTAGTGCAGCATCAGCCTCCAGTTGTGATCTCTCTCATCTTCTTTACCTTCATGTATTAGTGCAGCATCAGCCTCCAGTTGTGATCTCTCTCATTTTCCTTACACGTATCACTTTGATTTTTGTATATTATTTCTGACAGTTTGTGTTTTTCCTTTTTTACTTATCCAAATTTAAAGACTAAGAGCTTTTACCCTATCACAGCTCATTACAAAGCTTAGTGTTATTTGAGTATACTGTAAGCTTTGTGGTACAGCGTTGAGCCTGCTACATGCCACCACCTCAGTTCCAGTCCCCTCACATTCTTCTGTTAATTCCTTGACACTTGTTCATTGCAACTTGTTATATATATACTGCATATATACTTTTTAATGCTTCGGCCATGTCCCACCGAGGTAGGGTGACCCGACATAGAAGAAAACTCTTTCCCTGTCTCTCATTCAATCACTGCGTCGATATCACAGTTCATATGACGCTCTAAACCGTGACATCCCCGCTCTTCCACCAGAGTGCAGGCGCTGTAATTCCCACCTCCAGGACTCAGCTCCAGCTAACAGGTTTCCCTGAATCCCATCCTAAATACTACCTTCTTCACATTCCAACAGCTCGTCATAATACAAAAAACTTGCCTCCACTACTATCTAACACGCTCACGCAAGCCTCTTTGATGATTAAGCCCCTCGTACTAAAAACCTCCTTTGCTAGGACGACCCCGACCCTTCCTTCCGTCCACACCAGTTATATACACCCTCCTAGTCATCTTATTTTTCTCCATCCTCTCTAAATAACAAAACCGCTTCAACAATCCCTCCTCAGCCCTCTGAATAAGGTCAGCTAGATCTGTATCAGCTGTATCATGTACTTGTATAGAATTAAAGATTATTATTATTATTATTATTATTATTATTATTATTATTATTATTATTATTATTAATCTCTAAACTCTGAATTCTCTGCATAATATTTACAAAAAACATTGCCCTCAGACACGATATCTTCACTGTGTCCAAGGCTCCTCCTCGCTGCAACATTCAAAACCCATGCTTTATACCCATACAACAGTGTTGATACCACTAAGCACTGAAATATTCCCCCTTTTTTCTTCATGGATGAAGCTGAATATTAAAATGGTATAAAATACCGACAGGTTGTTAGGTAAGACACATATGCAACAGTTAGGTATCTTTATTTCAAAACGTTTTGCCCACATGTAGGCTTTTCGCAGTACAGAAAAGATGGTTTGAAGCAGGAAAAATTTGAAGGGAAAGTAATCGTCGACACCCTTGAAAAAAACTAGTTTTGAGGTGGTCAGTCCCTAGCCCGGAGAAGAGTATTGTTTATAGTTGAAAAGTTTTTAATTTGGGGAAAAAAATTTCATAAGCTCCAACCTATAAAATTAAAAAACCCCTTAAAACCCATTTTTCCAACCCAATTCACCAAAAAAATTCTAACCCGCAACAATACCCCAAATATCAAACACTTTCCCACCCCCTCCCTCTATTCCAAATCCCCATTCCAAACCCCCCACCCCCTCCCCCATCCCCCACCCATTTCCCCCCACCCATACCCCACCCCCACCCCATTTAAACCCCAAAAACCCCCCCCCATCCCCAAACCCCACCCCCCCCCCACCCCCACCCTTTCCCCCCCCCACAAATTTTCCCCCCACCTGGTCCAACCACCCCCATCCCACCACCCCCCCCCCACCCCCCTATAACCCCCCACCCACCCGGGGCCCCCCACCCACAAAAACCCCCCTACCCCCACCCCACCAACCGTACACCCCACACCAAACCACCACCTCCCACCCCCCCCATCAAGGTCACACCCCCCCAAAGGTCCCCCACCCCCTCACCCCCCCCCCACCCGTCACACCCCCACCCCCCCCATCACCCCCCCCTCCCCCACCCCCACCCCACAGGTCACCCCCACCCCCCCCCCCACACCAGGTCCACCACCCCCATCACCAGGCCACACCACCACACCATGGTCAAACCACCCACCCCATCACCCAAAAGCAACACCCCACCCCGGTCGCACCACCCTCACCAGGTCACACCACCACCCAGGTCGGGACCACCATCACCCAAGGTGCACCACCACCACCAGGTCACACCACCATCACCAGGTCGCACCACCACCACCAGGTCACACCACCATCACCAGGTCACACCACCACCACCAGGTCACACCACCATATGGTTTCCGTTTTATTGTTTCTGTTATACGATGTACTGTACATCATCATCACGGTGTAGTGTACATCATCATCACGGTGTAGTGTACATCATCACGGTGTAGTGTACATCATCACGGTGTAGTGTACATCATCACGGTGTAGTGTACATCATCACAGTGTAGTGTACATCATCACAGTGTAGTGTACATCATCACGGTGTTTGTGTTACATCATCACGGTTTTAGTGTACATCTCACGGTTGTTAGTGTAATCATCCGGTTTGTAGTGTAAATCATCACGGTGTAGTTTTTGTACATTTATCATCACGGTGTTTGTGTACATCATCACGGTGTAGTGTACATCATCACGGTGTAGTGTACATCATCACGGTGTAGTGTACATCATCACGGTGTAGTGTACATCACAGTGTAGTGTACATCATCACAGTGTAGTGTACATCATCACGGTGTAGTGTACATCATCACGGTGTAGTGTACATCATCACGGTGTAGTGTACATCATCACGGTGTAGTGTACATCATCACGGTGTAGTGTACATCATCATCACGGTGTAGTGTACATCATCACCCGGTGTAGTGTACAACCCTTTACGGTGTAGTGTACATCATTTACGGTGTAGTGTAATCCCTCACGGGTTGTTAAAACTTTTTCAGTGTTTTTGGGGTTTCATCATCACAGTGGGGCGTAAAAACATCAAAGGGGGGTTTTGTTTTTACTCATCACGGGTGTTTTTTGGTACATCACACAGTGTATTTTACTTTATCACAGTTTAAATGTTAAACATCCCCGGTTTTAGTGTACATTTATACAGGGGTAGTGTACAAACATCACAGGGAAATTTCAAACATCATGGGGTAGTTTTTTACATTTATCACCGGGTGTAGTGTCAATCCATCACGGGGTTTGTTTCATCATCACTTTTTTTGAAAGGTTCATCTTTTCGGGTGTATGTTTCATCACACGTGTATGCAAACACGGGGGAAATGTACACAACCCCGTTTGTATGTTTCCCCCATCACGGTTTTAGTGACATCATCAAAGGAGTGTACCTTTTTCACAGTGTAGTGTAATCAATTTGGGAGAGTACATATCACGGTTTTTATTTTACATCACGGGTTTTAGTGTACATCCCTCAAAGGGGTTTAGAGTAAAAATCACGGGTGTATTATTTCATTTATCACAGTTTTTGTGTTTCATCTTACTGTTTTAGTGTCCATTCCCTCGGGTTGTTTTAACCCCTTTTTCACGGGTGGTAGGGGTACATCATCCAACCGGGTTCGTGTGGGCCTCATCACGGTCTTTTTTTTAATCATCAAAGGGTTTTAGGGGGTAAATCATCCGGGTGTGTTAACTTAAACACGGGAAGGGAGAGGGACATCATCCCCGGGGGATTGTGTACATCTCACGGGGGGGACGTACATCGTCACGGGTTTTTGGACTGTACATCATCACGGTTTTAAATGTAAAAACTTTACGGGGTGTATGTACACTCACGGGGGTTAGTGTACCTCCCCTTCCCCCGTGTATGTTCATCCGTGTAGTGTTAAAATCACACAGTGAAGTGGACTTTATCCGGTTTTTTTATTTTACATCATCACGGTGTTTTTGTAAATTTATCCGGTTGTAAACGTACTTTTTCAACCGGGTTTTAGTGTACATCAACAAAGGTTTTTTAGTTTTACAAATCACACAGTTAGTGTACTTTATTCACGGAGGTATGTTTCTTTATCACGGTCTTGTGTTTAAAACAAACACAGTGTATGTACATCCCTCACAGTTTTATGTACCCATCACGGGGTTTTTAGTGTACCCAAAACACAAATGTATGTACATCATCACGGTGTAGTGTAAAAATTCCCTCACGGGGTAGTGTTTCACATACGGTGTTTGTGTAAAATCATCACGGGGTAGTGAACATATCAAAACTTTAGTTGGGACACAAAACCCCCCGGGGGGGTTCATCATCCTTTTAGTTACATCCCTACATGTAGAGTTTCGTCACACGGTGTTTGGGTTTTTCAAAATCACGGTTTTAGTGTACCATTTACGGGGTAGTGACATCAACTCCAAGGTTTTAGGGGTACATCATCACGGCGGGGGGTAGGGGTACATTTATCACGGGGGGGTATGTTCTTTAAACACCGGGGTTTTTGTTGCATCACACGGTTATGTTTCATCTCCCCGTGTAAATGTACATCATCACAGTGAGTGTACTTTTCCCGGGGGTAGTTTTCCCTCCAAAAGGGTTTTTTTAAAGGTTCATCCATTTCAAAGGGGTTTTTTTAGTGTTTATATTTACAGTGTAATTTTAATTTTTTTCACAGTTAGTGTAAATCACCGGGGGGTAGTGGTTTCTTTATCACGGGGGGGTTTTTTGGGTTTTTATTTTCATTATTTAGGGGTGTATGTGTGCATCATACGGGGGTAATTTTTACTTTATCACAGTTGGAATGTACTTTTCCCGGGTGTTTGTTTTACATCATCACGGGTGTGTTAACTTTCAAGGCAGGGTTTAGTGTACATCTCCCCGATGTTTTGTACCTTTTATTTAAAAGTGTAGGTTTTCCTTCTTTATTGTTTAATTACATCATCACGGGGTAATGGGCATCACAAAGTTTAGTTAAAATCATCACGGTGTTTTGTAACACATCCTTTTTTTGTATTTTCATCATCACAGTTTTAGTGTTAAACCCCATCACGGTGTATTGGTTTTCAATTTTCAACAAACAGGTTTTGGGGTTTCATCCCTTATTGTGTAGAAATAAATCTTTACGGGTTTCTTCCCTAAAAGGTTTTCAGGTTTTAAAATTTCACGGTTTTAGAGTACATCACGGGGTTGTTTTGAATCTCCTTGTAGTGTAAAATCCTTTCCACTTTTATTTTTACACATCATGGGTTTAGGGGGACCTCACGGGGGTATTTTAAAATACCCCCCCCCCCACCAAATGTTTAGAATCTGGCATACCTTCAACGGTGTAGGGGTACCCCCATCACGGGTTAGTGTGCACTTCCGCCGGGGGGTTT